GTCATCATATTGTATTTGTAGTAAAAAAGATAAAAGGGATGCCTCACATATGGAAATTAACATCCTCATCCTTTTTAAATACTTGTTAAACATGTTATAGGAATATTGCTGTAACATGTAGTCAACAGGCACAAAGACAAATGAGATTTAAAAACAAAACAGTCTTTATTAATTATCTGGACACATTGGAGATAACTCAAGAGAGTAACATAAACAATAATTAATAATAATAATAATTCGTTACATTTATATAGCGCTTTTCTGGACACTCAAAGCGCTTCACAGAAGGGGGGGATCTCCTCAACCACCACCAATGTGCAGCATCCACCTGGATGATGCGACGGCAGCCATATTGCGCCAGAATGCTCACCACACACCAGCTTACTGGTGGAGAGAAGACAGTGATGAAGCCAATTGGTGTATATGGGGATGATTAGGAGGCCATGATGGACAGAGGCTACTGGGCAAATTTGGCTAGGATGCCGGGGTTACACCCCTACTCTTTCGAAAGACATCCTGGGATTTTTTATGACCACAGAGAGTCAGGACCTCGGTTTAACGTCTCATCCGAAGGACGGTGCTCTTTTTGACAGCATAGTGTCCCCATCACTTTACTGGGGCATTAGGACCCACACAGACCACAGGGTGAGCACCCCCTGCTGGCCTCACTAACACCTCTACCAGCAGCAACCTGGCTTTCTCAGAAGGTCTCCCATCCAGGTACTAACCAGGCTCAGCCCTGCTTAGCTTTAATGGGCAACCAGTCTTGGGCTACAGGGTGATATGGCTGCTGGCTTACAACATTTAAATCAAACAAGAACGGACAAAGAACAACAAAGAAACAGGGTTATAAATACATGGTTGGAACAAAGGAAACCAAACTAGGTGAAACTAATATGTTAAAAAAGAAAAAAAAAATCAGTAACCACAGTAACCGAAACTAAACAGAGTAGGGAAAAGGAACTAAAGAAAATGGATCAGAACTTCAAAATAAAAGACAACATGACAGAACAGAACCATAACAAGTGCGTAGTTGTGCTTGGAGCCAAGTATTTTATTTGTGATAATGCCAGGGGCCGGAAGGTGTCAGGTTTGGGGACCACACGATTTCATCTCTGCTCTTTGCGGATGATGTTGTCGTGTTGGCCCTTTCAGACCAGGACCTTTAGCATGCACTGGGGCGGTTTGCAGCCGAGTGTGAAGCAGCTGGGATGAAAATCAGCAACTCCAAATCCGAGGCCATGGTCCTCAGTCGGAAAAGGGTGGCTTGCCCACTTCAAGTTGGTGGATAGATCCTTCCTCAAGTGGAGGAGTTTAAGTATTTTGCGGTTTTGTTCACGAGTGAGGGAAGGATGGAAAGGGAGATTGACAGACGGATCGGTGCAGGCCCGACCCGGCCCCGGATAAGCGGAAGAAGATGGATGGATGGATGGAATGAAACATGCCAAAATGTGTTGTTATAATTTTTGCCACAAGAAATTATGAACAGATACAAAAACAAGGGAGAACAAAATATTAAAATTTGATTATGTTGTAGGCAGCCAGTGTATGCTTTTTCCAGTGAGCTTTTTGATTTTCTATACATTTTGTTGTAAAAAATCATTTAAAAACTGTGCTCATAAATAATTGTTACATTCACAAAATAGACATCTCTCAAAAATACATAGATTTCAGATGCACAACATTGAAGGAAACATTAAGGATTGTTTGTACTTTTTATTCTCTATAGGCTGTATAACTGCAGTATTGGAGAAGAAGGTTGTGCTGCATTGTCTTCAGCTCTGAGATCAAACCCCTCACACATGAGAGAACTTAATCTGAGCAACAATAAACTGTGTGATTCAGGAGTGAAGTTGCTTTCCGACTTACTGCAGGATCCAAACTATAAACTGGAGAAATTACAGTGAGTGATGATTTGCTCCATGATTTATAAATGTTTAATTTCATATTACTAGTAAAGTGTCTGTCATTCACAATATTCGATTAAATTAAACAGAATTATTTCAACATAACCTACAAAAAATATTTTCATCTTTGTAAATGATTCTCATAACAAGTGTATATTAATGTGTCTTATTTTTTTTTTACAGTAAAATGTTTATTCATTTCTAATTTTTCGGTCTTATTTTTATTTTTATTTTTTTACAGTATCCTTACCTAAAACAATCAACTACAAATGGCAATCCAAACAACTGATTTCTACCATAATCAACCGGATGTGCTTACTTTCCCCTACTGGACATTTAGTTATTTAGCCATATGATGTAATGACAACAAGTGACTTACAAATGATGAACATGAGAAGAAATTGATCATAAATGTCAAAACATATTTGTAGTTTACTATGCCAATTGAAAGCATCTATACAATTTAAAGACGACATGAAATACAGAAGCAGAGAAAAGAGTTTTTATGATAGTGCCCAGGAGACTAAGCGACTAAACCTGTAGGTGTGACTTGGATACCTCTCCTCTCCAGGAAACCTTAAGGGTTTTCTGCTTTTTGTCAAATAAAGAAAAATAAACATGATATGCGTTTTGCCTTTTCTCTGTCAGTGGAGTTTATTCTGAAATTGTAACTAAGTGAATACTTGTCACAGAGACATGAAAGATTTCTCTTTATGAAGCTGAAATTCTCTTTTAAATGAAGTAATTTAAATATAAAAAACAGCTATTCTCAGTTGATGTAATCTGTATGAAAAGAGAGAGATGTCACTCTTTTTCCTTTCACCTAATTATAGCGTAATGTAACTACACCGACTGAGAGCGTGTGCTATTCAAACGCCAATGTTGAGGCAAGCCATGAAAATGCCTACATCAGCTGGATAAAACATCCAGTTTAAATGGGGGGGGGGTTGACTGCTTTTTTTCTTTGCATGATTGTGTTTATGAGGTGCAATATAACATGTTTTCGTGGTTTTTCTTTTTTAAAAAGTCTTATTTTTCATAAACTTCACCTTTATTGTCAGCCGCGCTCTCCTCTGTCCCCTGAACGAGCGGTTGACTTCCTGATTCTATGAAAACACTCCCTCAGAAACACGTAGTGGGCTCAGATTGGTTCGTTTGGGCCGGTGTGTTGTGATTGGCTAAAGTGTCGCTCACGTTGTCCGGAAGATTAACGCCCATTACCTTTACGGCATGCCAAAGGTGGATACCATGCATAGACGGTGGATACACGTAAATAATGATGTCGAGACTGCAGTATCAGTGAGGCAGAATCAGACCGAGAAAGCCGCGATGAATCGAGTCAAGCAGAACCTCGCCACACACTCTTACTAAACGTTTCTGAATTATAATTTGCTACATTTTTTAACCATATACACGTTTGTTTTACACAATAGCATCTGACTGGCAACGATATCAACTGACTGGCTACTAATGTTAAACACAAACAGCATTGGCATTGGCAAGTTTACATTCTTGATCATATCGAAAATAACGTCATAAAGCATATACACATGAAAAATACATTTACAACATTAGTACTTATACAAAATTCAGGTCCATAATGTTTGTATGTGTTTGTCGTAGACACAAAATACTAGCATAACTAGTAGCCTAGTGGCTATAAAGCCAGCGCTGGCATTTGAAAAAAATTAAATAAAACAAGGCTACGTCTGGAATTATACATGCAAATACATTTAAAATGATGAAGTCTTAGCATACTTATGGCCCAACAACTGCTGCCTCTTATTTTAAAGGACAACTCCGGCGCAAAATGAACCTTTAGTCTAATTACACATTGTTACCTAGTCAACCGTTATCAGAGATTTGTTTTCATGATTGCCGAATGTAAATAGTTTTATCTCTAAAAACAGTTTAGCCTATAACGCTAGTATAACACTAGTATATAGGGCATAGAGTAATGACAAATAAAAATCGCTTGTTATTACCTCTAACAAGGCTCAAAATAGCCCCATACTAACACGAAAGCATAACAAGGGTCCCTACTTTCAAACCGAAGCATTGAGAACTTTGTCAGTGTCCATACAGTTTAATAAGAAGATATTTTATACACACAGTAAACTTCGCGAATACAGGAAGAAGCCATCTTTGAAAAATAGTCTCTACCAGTCGATCTACGAACGCCAATCCATGTGAAGAAGAAGCTGCTTCATTTTAAGAAGTTTTAGGACACCATCGGGTCACTTGATGGAGTTTTTCGGGTTCCTTGCCACTGTTGCCTTTGGCTTGCTCAGTTGGGGGTATTCAAATTAAATGACCCGCCACTTTCGAGTCAGGTGGCGTGTTATCTCTACGCATTTTGAGCTATCCGCGTGCGTGTATGCGTATATGTCTACGCCATTAACGTACGCGTCATTCCGCGTCTCTGAACACGCAGTCAAATCTCCAGTCATAAATGCCATTAACCCCAGTGACGGTTAAGTTTAGGGATGGGGTTGAGGTAAGTCATATCTTTTTTTCCCTAGGATGGTGAGGGAACAGTCATAAATGCCATTAACCCCAGTGACGGTTAGGTTTAGGGACGGGGTTGAGGTAAGTCATATATTTATATAACGTTAAGTCAACGGCGTTCATAAACACACTGAAAGGCGATTATGTGTCTTGATAGCACACCAAAAATGGAAATACGAATTGGCGTGTCACGCTACTTCATGAGATCAGTCTGGCTAAGTTGTCTTGATTGATATTGTGAAGCAGCTTTGATACAATCTGTATTGCAAAAAGCGCTATATAAATATATTTGACTTGACTTCATTTTGATATACATCACAATACTGAAGAAAAGACTATCACAACAGATGTTTATGTATGGTCTACAGTTTTTACAAATGAGGATTTGTTTATGTATTGATTAATTAACCATCAGGGTTATCTACCATTATAGACTTATACTAATTACCTTCCTTTGATATTTTTCACTGCATAATAATGGTAAACTCAGAAACCTTTTAGTTTATATGCAGACTAACATGCAGGGTATGCACATTATAAGGTTATAAGGTTTATAATATCAACATTATAAGGTATGAGCCTAGATTACATTTGTTATTACATAAAATAACATTTATTATTATCAACCTCTCTATGACTCACTCACCATGCCAATACTGTGCTGGCAGTGATGTTTTATCAAACAAAAGTTTTACACTAATTCCATCAAAATATTTAATATTCCATTCTTCAAGTCAAAAGATAACATTTTAACAATGTCCACACACATAAAAATACTGCACATATATGCAATTTTCAAAACAAAACAAACATTACAAAATATAACAATAAAAAAAAAGGTCCACAGACATTTATCTGAGCTAGAGATTTTTGAGTCACAGCTAAGAACCGTTCAACATTTACGGTCTTCATTAACATGAAGTTGTTGTTGTTTATAATTCAGCTCTAGATGACAGATTGAATAAAGTAACAAGTATTACTACATTGTCTACTGTTAACCTCATGATAAAAAACAACAGTGCCTTCCAGACACCTCAGAGATCTAGAAAAAGTCATATGGCCATGACCACATTCCCTCTGCCTGAGCATTTTTCCGTGTATAGGGAGGGACTCAAGCTCAGTGGAAGAGGATGTGTTTGTGTTTGGTGTTGGGAATCTGCTCTCGGCTCTTCAGTCTCCTGACGGCTTCTCTCATGTGTTTGGGCTGCAGAGGTGGCGTGTCTCCCCACTTCTCACACACGTCAAGAGCTGCAAGAGAAAAAAGAAAAAAACATTATGACGACAATCAATGAGGCACCGGTTTCTATCTAAATCATACTTCAGTGTCGTACAAACCTTCCTCAACAATCTCCCCAGCAAACACCTTCGAAATTCCAGACATGGCGATGACCACATTTTGAGAGACGGATGATCCGGTGATGGACTGAACTAGCTGGAAGACAGGAACAAGCTTTTTCAACAACTTAAGTTTCAACTGTTTTATATATAATTCCAACACCTTGTGGTATACTTAGATCTAATAAATGTTTACAGGATTCCCAATAGAATTTATCATCATCATTTGGAACCAAACCTAAAGGATCCTAATAAAAATGTGTGTATTAATGTATTAGAAATGTTTAATTCCTATCCACAAGTTTCCTACGTCCCATGAGGCCTTGCGTCAAAAGTGGGCACGACTTCCGATTCGAAGTAAACAAAGCGCGATTTGACATGCTTCACACTCGTTCATTCAACAGTTGACAGTCATAGCGATCCAAACTAGCTAACGATGTGGGAACACAACCTCAACGAAATTCAAAAGGGTGAAATAACGGTACCTTTACCCTCCGCAGTAATTGATTGGGCAACATGACATCATGACATTTGCGTAAACATACACGCCACTTTCGAGTCACGTGGCGTGTTATCTCTACGCATTTTGAGCTATCCGTGTGTATACGCGTCTATGCGTGTATGTCTACGCCATTAACGTCCGCGTCATTCCGTGCACGCAGTCAAATCTCCAGTCATAAATGCCATTAACCCCAGTGACGGTTAGGTTTAGGGACGGGGTTGAGGTAAGTCATACATTTATATAGCGTTAAGTCAACGGCGTTCATAAACGCGCTGAAAAGCGATTATGCGTCTTGATAGCACGCCAAAAATGGAAATACGAATTGGCGTGGCATACACACGCTACTTCATGAGATCAGTCTGGATTGGGAGTATTATAATAACATTATTAATAATCAATACTCATCAAGGCATGGTGACAGACAAGTTGTGCGAGCTGACAAACAATTAAAATAAAAAATACACACTTAGTCATTGTGCTTTGGAGTTTATTCAAAATTATAAATGAATGTGCTACTTGAATACATTAACTGGCACATTTGGTATTCTGTCAACACAGGCTTTGATCCTGAGTTTAGGTGTAACATGAGTAGCGAACAGCCAATCACATGCTGAGAGAGTTTATAGAAAATTAAGAATTTAAACAAATGTACACAGGAAGATTCGTCGTCTTTTGGGAGGTGATGGAAACTAACGTTACAGTCGTTGGCAGGATCACTCTGATTTCGTTTTTGGCTTATGTTCAAAACAATCACGTTCAAGCCACTTAATTAGTTTAGTCCGGTTATACATACAACCGCGAACAGCACATGTTGTCCCTGAGCTCCGTAACGACATCTCTCATAAAGATTTGCGTCTTTAAATAGTAAAATATTTCTCCAAAAAACAGCTAGCCTCTTCGCTAACTAACACACAAAATACCATTGGAATGCTACTTCCGCCGCCTCACCGGAAGTTTCACCCACTTTATTTTTGAGGAGCACCCCTCGGAAACTTGTGGATAATAACTGTACAACAATGGTTTTCTTTAATTGTCCAGTACCATTAAATGGTACATTTACTACATTATGCAATATATTCAAAATATGAAATAAAAATCTTTTTTTTGATAAAAAGGGACTCTCATTTGATCAAATTAGGTTGTTTTAAAGTTGGTTCAATGATTATTTCCGAATTAAAGCTTGCACACATTTCTCAAGGATTTCCTGACTTATCCAATGGATGTCCGCAAACTAGCCCGATGGCCAATCAAAAATAGTCAAACATGATTTTGTGGGGTTTTGGAGTGCCGAAATTGTACGTCTGACCTTCAACCCGCGGCAACAATTCAAAAGTAGCCCAATTCCAGAGGGAAAAAAAACTCGGACGGACAAACACCGACTCCTCCACTTACTCTCTTTATAGCTGCCTTTGGGAAAGCTGAGCGTCTGTACATCTCATAGCGGTTCAGCTGTTCTTCAGAGAATGACGATACTAAAACTCTGGAACAGAAATTAGGAGTATACGCATCAGACTGTGCAATCTATCAGAGGCAGGTTTATAGGTAAGTTTTGCACATTAATACAGTAAATCAGCATGCAGCACAATGAATGACAAATAAAACTCACTGCATCTTTTGTATTTCATCTTCATCAACTTTTTGCCGTTTCTCCTTTTTCTTGTCTTGCTCCAATTTCAGTTTTTTAGCAGGAGAGGGGTGAAGAGAAGATCCCTCTTCCTCATCATCACCAGCAGCAGCAGCTTCTTCAGACCTCTAAAGCAGGAATCAGATAAAACATGAATTAATACATTTCTATCATATCATTTCTAGTGTCTCTGGGTGAGAAGAGGACGGACCACTTTGCCCTCCTCTTTCGGTCTGCTGTGCCCCGAAGCGTGTTCTTTGGAGACCCCGCCGCTCGCCGGAGCGTCCCCGGACCCCAGGCTCTTCTGCTGGGGTCTGTCCTCAGGCTTCACTCGGTCCGGATCTGCCATGCTTCGGCTGAGCTGAGGCAGAAGAAGAAGAAATATAACTTACCCATTTTATGGTGTTTAGATATGGTAGTGAATGATGATGATTATGATTCTTATTACATTTTTTCATAATATAATATGGTTTTACATAAGACAATGTGATAATCATGTTAATTGTGTGCATTAGACTGGGACCGAATCTGACAACATTTACACAACAAAAGGCCGTGTGTGTAAATAAACAGTGCAAAATAGATATAAACACAGATTTCTTCTAATAACATAACGTTACCTCAGGCCGACCGCAGGGTTGATAATAGTTTTATAAACACAGAATCGAGGAACTGTTTGTTTGTTTTACGCTCTACACTCCAGACTGAACTCATTCTCTACAGTCATGACAATTTCCGGTCAATTTCATAATAAGAGTCCATGTTAGTTTCTATCACTGGGTGGCGCACTTTGCTAGATAATGAACTGTTGCGTAGGAAAAGCAGCTTTGCACAGATAGAGGAATGCCCCACTTCACTGAAAGGCATTCATATCCTAACCTACTGTCTAAATGGAGGCATTTGTTTATTACTTATTATTATATTTACTACGTCCAATGAAATGCTTAAGCATTTTTTTAATTATTTAAATAAATAAAAACATAAACACAAACGTTTGTGATTGTGCCATCCTGAGAAGCGCTGAGAAAAGTAACAAATTGCCACGTGACACACCATTTGATTATTTCTTCATAAGGAGCGTGACACTATGGTGCGGACACTATTTTACATTGACTGTAAAAAAAAAAAAATAATAATAATAGAAATATATTACACACTTAAGTTATTATTTAGATCCAAGTCATATTGCTTGCATTTACACCTCTTTAAACACCTCTGCATTTAATCTGTACAATCTATGCTTTTAAGACAAGGGAATTTATGCCTGAAATTCATTTATTTACAAATATATATATATATATATATATATATATATATATATATATATATTTTAAATTTCATTAAAGTGTTGCTTTTTATATGAAAATTCAAGTAGTAAATCTGTATTCAAAATATCGGTTTCACTTGCACCTCTAACTCTCAGTGTTAGAAGAGGATTAGTAGACTGGTAGGGTTAGGGATAGAATAATTTGACATATAGTTACTTATTGTCAGTCAGTATAATGTCTGTTGGGGGAGCATCACAATAAAGATTGGCAGATATTAAGCAGACAGTCTACTAATACTCTAAAGAGAGTTGGTTGGCATGTAGTTGCAAAATTACTTAGTCAACAGAATAGGCCAACAACAGAAGCATAAGAGTCAAGAACATGCTAGAAAATCAAAGACTGCAAATCCCAATGCTCAAAATAATTAATCGGTTTGAGTAGGGTAAACGTAAATTAAACAAATTAGTTAACTTAAAAAGTTTTCAGTGTGTTTCAGTGTTTTGAGATTCATCAACTTGTTCCTTTTAACTTAAACAAACTTAAATTTAACAGAAACTGGGCTAGGATTCCCATTTCCTAGCATGCCTTGTCATGACACTTGAAAGGGAGAACATGCTCAAATTAAGTGTTATAAAATGTTTTGTGTGTGTGCGCAATATTAATGTTTATGATTTTGTATTATTTTATGTTTAGGTATGCTAACTTAGAAAATTTTCTGTTTTGTGTGTTTTTTGAAGGGCTTCATGTTAAATGTTCTATATTGCCCTACTTATTCAGCGATTGTTATGCTATGTGTTGGCTACCAATGCATTAAAAAGCAAGTTACATTAAAGCTAGCTACTGTATGTTTCCACTACTAAAAATATTTAAGTAAGATATCCATGATAAGTGAAATGTACCTAACTCAAATATTTAACGTTAAAAGCAATTAAAATGTATGAACTCAAAAAAAAAATCTGCCAGTTCTGCTACTTTTTCTTAACTTAAAAAAACGTTGATGTAACTGATTGGCTCATTTTTTGATTGGCTCAACTTATTCAGGTTTACAGTAATAAATACATTTTTAGAAAAAAAAACAGTTTAAAGTTACATTAATGCACCCCTAAAAATGAATAGCCTATCTTGTGATGCACAGCTTGATGCGGGTCAGGTACTCATTTTATCATCAGAACATTAAATATAACACTAAAATAGCTATAATATTATTTAATTGCCCAATAGAAAAAAAAAAAAAAATATATATATATATATTATATATATATATATATATATATATATATATATATATATATGAATGGAATTCATAATGGATTGTTATAGCCATCAGTCCCGTTGCTGTTCATAATGATCCACTTTGTAAGAGACTCTTCTGATAATTTCTCAAATGAAGTAACGTTAATTTTCCACGAACCCCTGATATATTGTCACGGTTTCTTCTTCCACTAATGTCAGGATGTAAGGATAAGCGACCAAACGAGGGGTTTCACATAATGCAATCCATCGATTTCAATTCCCTAAATGCCGTTCCACCATCATTAGTGTAATTAAATGATTGTGCATAATTCCGAGCCTTCGCGACGTCACCAAGGAGCGCGCCCGTCTAGGAAGTGACGTGTCGAGCCGTTGCCAAAGGAAGTTTGTGCGGGCGCTGGGAGAGAAAGTTTCCCCGGAGCTGGAGAGATTGGAGCGGGAATAACCCTGACACAGCCGCCGCTGGTGGACCGAGCGGAGCGGAGCGGGAATAGAGCGCGTCGGGGCGTCGGAGAGGCTGCCGTGGGTCCGTGTGGCCGACCGTGTGATCGTTCCTCCGCCGCTGGTTTGAGTGTGTGTTTGTGTGTGTGAGATGGGGAAGGAGCAGGAGCTGCTGGAGGCGGCGCGCACCGGGAATCTACCCGCCGTCGAGAAGCTGCTGTCCGGGAAGAGACAGTCGGCCGGGTCGGCCGCCGCGAGCGGTGCTGGATCCTCCGGGAATACCGGGAGCGGCGGGCACAGCTCTTCCCACACGCTCTCCAGTCTGCTCAGGTGAGAGAAAACCACGGAGGCTCAACGTTAACGTTATCTCTACAGGAGACCGAGCGAGCGACCGGGGCTATAGTTGTCACTCCAGGGATTGTTTTCACAGTTGGTTTATTGTTTTATTTAAGTCGTAGACACAAACAATGAAGTCCTAACCAAACAAGTAACTTAGCATTTCCCATTGGGAAACAAAAAGATAATTGAAGGCTCTATAACACTGTGTTGTGTTGTCTAGAGTGGGGCATGTTGTCACACAGTTTGGGGTAGAGCTTGTCACCAACTCCACTGATTTGAGGTTATGAATAACTTAATTTTAAAATCTAAAATGCTTTCTAAATCAAAAAAGACTGTCTCTTACAGCATTTCCATTTAAAACACACGTGACAACTTTTCCCAGCCATGACGTTCATGATGTTGTTTCACGTTATGTTTCATAAGACCCCTTGTATGTCTGTGTGTTTTTATTGTGCTCACTTGGTAGGCTACCGAACCACACAAATTATGATATTAGAGTTTGCAGAACAAAATTCTTAAAAAAAAAAAAAAAAATGTTTAATTAAGGCTGGAACATTTTTTGTCCTAAAACCTTACAGTTCTTCCCTTGTTTTCTTGGAAACAGTTGAATTGGAAAGTATCTCAAGGAATCATCATCTTTCAAAGATCCCTGCCAGTTCTTTCTCAACATAAACATGATGTTGTTCCTCTTTATGTCATAAAAGCATGAGTAACATGCGTCATCATCCCCGCTATTACGAAGCAAAATGTAGTGATCCAGAACATTCCTGCTGGATGTGATTTGCACATGTATTTACAACGTAGATGTGCGTGAGATAGAAATGTAAATTATTCTCAGTGTAGTGTGTGAATAGAGAGCTGTTCACATTTGCATGCACTTGAGCTGCCTCTTCATTTCTTACGCTTTTCAAAGTCCAGACTCCTCTAGTCTGAATAATGTTTGGGCAATTTCACATGTTGCGCTATAACATGGTTACATATCTGTCTCTTTGAAGAGAGAGAGACTGTTTGGTTTCTTGGATTGTGCCGGATTAAGTTTTGCCAACAAAATAACTTTTATTTAGTGTAAATACAAATGTCATTTACGTCTTAAAAGCGTTGTTTTTGAAGGGTGTGAATGTGCTGTACTATATAAGAACGAGCCTCTGATTGAATCTGGAAATAAAGCAAAATAACGGAGAAAAATGACAAATAGTCCTCAGATGGCATGTCTGTAATTTATAACAAAACATCTAGCATTAATTAGATTTCTAACAGATTCATTAAAATAGTTATTACTCCGCCACCTGTGTGAAATCATTAACCAACGTGGTTGAACGACTATGTTTCGGGAAACGGTTGTGACTATCTAGTAGTGGTTGAACAGGAAACACACCCCAGATATGGCGAATAATAATTCAAATTCACTTCTCATTATGAGCTTTTGCTGTTAGTTTTCCACTAGCATTTTGAGGTCATCACACTCTTAGAAGAAATGGTTCTATTTAGAACCAGAAATGGTTCTATCCCCCGCTTCATACATGGAACTCCCATTTTTTTTTTGGTAAAAGGTTCTATTGGCAAACTATGGAACCCCAGGGTTCTATATAGAAATCAGAGGAACCCTTTTTTTTAAAGGGATACTCCACCGGGTTTTCATATTAAACTATGTTATTCCCTTAATTAAGACGAGCTGATGCATACCTCTCTCGTCTCTGAATTGCCGCAAAACTATGTTAGCACTTAGCTTAGCCCAGTGCATTAAATATGGGCCAAAAAGAGAAGCGACAAAACACTTCCTCGTTTTCCCTATTTAAACACAGTTACTCGATTAGTGTAACTCGACCTAGGCTGGTGGCACAAAATAAAACGTTGTTTCTTTCTAAGCGTTTAAAATTGATGACTATATTGTATGGCAAAATGGTAACACTTTATAATAACTGCACGCTAATAATCATTAGCTAAGCATGAGTAAATCGTTAATTCATCATTTATAAAATATTAATAGACATTAATATGCAGTTTATAAATATAGCTATACATGCTTTTTTCTTGATTTATAAGCATATCTATAATGCGTTTAATGATTGTATTTTCATACTTTGTTAATGATCAATTAATAATTTCTAAATGAAGTATAGCATTATTTACAAACCAGTTGTTAAAGAGTTGTCAGTCATTCATAAGATCACTTATAAAGTGTAAGTAAATGTAGCAAATACAGGTAGTTATAAAGCATTTAGTAGTGGTCAGTTAACTATTTTTGTGAGCTAATCTAAAGTGAGGACTATTCATGCTTTGTAAAGCATTTATAAAGGTGATTTAAAGACTCGTCAATCTTCTAAACAGTAAAATGTAACAAACACAACGCAGTGATACAGAACATAGAAATATTTAACAGCCTTTAAAAATGCTTTACAAGGCATGAATAGTCCTCACTTTAGATGAGCTCAC